GCCAGGACGCCGCACGCTCCGGGGCGCCGGGGCTGGCGGGGCTCCCCCAGGCCCACGTGCACCTGGACCTCTTTGTACCCAGGTGCCCGGTTCCAGGCTGCGTGGGGCTCGGCCACATCAGCGGCAAATACGCCTCACATAGGAGCGCGTCTGGCTGCCCGCTGGCCGCCCGCAGGCAGAAGGAAGGCTCCCTCAACGGCTCGGCCTTCTCCTGGAGGTCGCTGAAGAACGAGGGGCCCACCTGCCCCACGCCGGGCTGCGACGGCTCCGGCCATGCCAACGGGAGCTTCCTCACCCACCGCAGGTATGGGGCCGACGCCCGCCCCTGCGCCCCGCGAGGCAGGGCTGCCCACGGAGGGCACAGGCTAAGGTGTGCCCTGGGGTCCTGAGGACAAGCCCAGTGGCAGCCCATCGCCTGGCCGCCGAGGACGCAGGTGTGGGCAGGCAGGTGGCGCCTGTGTGCGAGCAGCCCCCCGAGGCCTGGGCTGGATCCGCCCTGCTCAGGACACTGCTCACGCCCGCCTTTGCCCTCCCCCGGCCTCAGCTCCTCTGCAGGGCCTGTGGACAGCGCCCTCCCTGGCTGGGCCTGGGCAGCAGCGCCACCTGCCCACACCTGCTCCAGGACGGAGGGCTCTTGTCTCAGCACCCCCTTGTGCTCTGGGTGGTGGGGCCAAGTGGCCAGGGCACCCCTGCCCCGTCAGGACCCTCCTTTCTTTCTCTGCCCTGTCCCTCACCGACGAGCTGAACGTGTCCCCCTTTCGACCAGCATTTCCCAAAGGCCCCCAAGGGCCAGCTCTGCAAAGCGTAGGGAACAAAAGTGAGCTGGGCCACAGGGCAGGGCAGGGGGAGACAGACACAAAGGAGGGTGTCTGAGCACAGTACCAGGGCAGTGAAGGAGGACACAGCCCGGGGGCTAGGGTGAGGCGGGGGGGGGGGGCAGGGCCTGTGGGCAGCGCTGGGGGCAGAGCGGCGGACAGGCGAGGCGAGGGCGCTGCGGGGTGACCGTGTGATAGTGACCATGGCTGACCTTGAGGTGTGACCCTTGTTTCTAGTTTGTCTGGCTGTCCCAGGGCCACCTTTGCTGGAAAGAAGGGGAAGCTCTCAGGGGACGAGGTTCTCAGCACAAAGTTCAAGACCAGTGACGGTACCAGCCCTCCTGTGCCCGGCATGGGGGCCTGGGGTGGGGGGAGTCCGGGCGCTGCCAGACCCTCCGCCTGAGCGTGGAGGCTCCGTCCGGGCCGCGGAGCCTGTGTCTGGCTCCCGCTTGCAGGGGCCTTAGCTGGCGATGCCAGGCGGTCCTGGCCCTGTGGAATTGCGCGGGTTCGCGGCCTCCATGCAGAGGACGCTGCGGAAAGGTAGCACCACCCGGGAAAGCTTCCACGTGCTGTTAGCAAGGGTAACAGCTGCCAAATTCGTGCCAGGAGCGCGCGCGCCCCCGTCCCCAGACGCTTCCTGCCAGCCGTGGGCCGGCGGGGGGAGCTCAGCAGCTGGCCAGAGGTCATCGCGAAGGGGAGCCCAGTCCCGCCTGCGAGCGCCCCGCCACACAACCGCTGTGCTCCCCCGCAACCCCGCAGTGCTGGAGAGCGACGAGGAGATCAAGCAGCTGAACCAGGAGATCCGTGACCTGAACGAGTCCAACTCAGAGATGGAGGCCGCTATGGTGCAGCTCCAGTCCCAGGTGAGCC